GGTTGCAGGAAGTGGGCTAAGGAGGATGTCGCCAGCAAGACTACTAATCCGACGCACCTGCAAATAAATCCAGCTCACACTGCCCGCGCCTCGTAAGCATTTCATTACATTTCAGGCCTGCAGAACTGTCATGGCATGCACTTTTTGGGAAGAGTTTTTGCAAAGCTGATCTCAGTACTGCCGAGTGCCTCTGTGGCATGCAGATTAACGGGTGTTGCAGTTGTACTATGCAAGGTCTCAATCCACCCCTGCATCCTACAGTAAGCCCGTAACCCCTAAACCCTGAACTTATATTGGGGTCCTCATTTTGGGTTGAGGCTTTGTTGTCCGCAAGCGTTCTGGGTCCATAATGTATCATGTTGAATCAGGGTTCCATGCAGTGGTGCTGCACTACAGCTCTCCTACAGAAAGTAATTAATGTAGTTGTTGTGCAGTGTGCAACTGTGAGGCTGTGACTCTGATGAAGAAGTACAACACAGACAATCAAGGTGGCATCGACATTCGCGAGTGACACCCTCAGGGCGGTAGCGCAGTATCAGAAGAAGGTGAGGACGGAGATCTGAACTGAAGCAGCACGCAGTAGAGGTCTTCAACGATGTGTTTCAGGGTCTTGTGGAGATGATTCGTAAAGGCCCAGGGAAATCCTGCTCTTGACTGAGGCGGATCCCTCAAGCCCCAAGCTATTCAAAACCTTGACTCCCAAATCTGAAGGTACGAGGGCCTGGTTACGGATCCATCTCTTCCAGGCAGGAGGGCTGGGCATGCGTTCCGGTTTCTTTTGAGCTCTCCAACGCATATGGGCAGCCATGCCAATTTGTGGTTGGATTTGCGCATTTGCGCGGCGGTTTGTTGGGTCTCAGGATGTGGGCATTCAGGCCGCAGGGCAGTGTCTAAGGGTGGGTGTTGTTCCAGTCTCTTCCAATAATCCTAGCACATATTTTCCTAATATTGTTCTTCTTGATGCCGTCAATAGTATGATGTGAAATCCCGCTGAGGCTGTTGGGTAGGCTTTCAGACGCATTGCTCCCCAATTTATGCGGCCCCTGTATTCTGTATGCGTAGCCCTCAATTTGGGAATCGTCTTCGAAGGTACTAGCATGATACGCTCATTTGAGCAGGTAATTTTCCCCCAGAAGGCCGAGAAATACGTTAGCATTTTTTTTCGATCCGTGCCGCGTTCAACCTCTACCTTGGGATTTTCTAGTTTTGATCTTATTTAGCGGTCTCTAAAGATTGATAAAGCTGCTTTTGCTTTGGGGTGACAAGAACCGCTTCAAAATAGTGCATCTGAAGACAATGATGGGGTTTCGTGTCTTAAGGTATCTTTGGGTCCCACCAGCCTGAAGAATCCTCTGCTCAGACATTCGAGCCCAACAAGGCCTTGAAGAACGAAGAATCAGAATCAGGGGGGGAGGGTGGGGGGCTCAACAAGGCCAGGGTAATTTTGAAAGAGCTCTTTTCCACGAAGTCTTAAACCTCATGGCGCGCCCCCTTGACCTTAAACCTGCCAATCCGATGCAGGCTTGATGACCACCATCCTCCGCACTTACTCAAACAAGCTTCTCGGGCAATGCTCAATCCCTTCCGTTGACACTTCTGAAAGTTGAGGGTTTGATAACAGATGGATGTAGAGCATCAGTGGGGAATGTAAGGAAATTCTCGGGTTCCTCAAATTGAGATGCTCTCGTGTACCAAAGCAGAGTAGTTGGACTACTCGTTGTTGGTCAGGACAAGAGGACGGGGTTATCTCTTTGCGGTGCCCAGCTTTGCAGAAGCCGTGAGATACGAAAAGACAGCCCCAACCTAAACCCACGGAAGCCGTTTGTGATTTCCATATTCTACTTTCCTTCAGGATGGTGGTCTCTTGAGGCAACATATTCAGTTGATATTGGGACTTCTTTCAGCGGTAACATGCGAGCTTGGTTCACCATGCTTCATGTGCGCCTCAAAGCCTAATTACTCTGATCATTTAGGCTCCTGTGAGTAAGAAAAGGCCAAGTTGAACAAAGCTCTTCACCCTCGCTGCAAAACCCCCTCGCAGGCTCAGCAGGTCTCCACCCCAACGTTGCAGTCACCTACCAAGTGTCATCCATCCAGTGCGGCTACGCCTGAAACCTAGCACTTCAACAATCTGCAAGCCCTCAACCCTGAACTTAAACCCGAAGCCATCAATTTCAACATGAAACTGTGACCCAAAGAAGCTTTTATCCTCAAACTGTAGAACCCTAAGCCTGAAATCTAACCCCGAGATTCCCAGCCCTAAACTTAAACCTTAAATCCCAATCTTTAAACTTAACCCCCGAATGCCACAATCCTAAAGAAACATCGGCAGTCCCAAACCCCAAGCTGAAACCCCGAGTCACGCACCGGAAGCACAAAACCGTAGAGTTAAACCCTTAATCCCGGGCCAGCAATGTGAGTCCTAAATCCGAGACAAAACGCTTAATCCCTAAATCCAGCAAACTCAGTCTACAACCTCAAACTCCAAACACAAAATCTAAACCCTAAATCACAAGCCATAAACTTCAACCTTAACGCCCCCGAGTGCCTAGGCTTGCTTCAGTCGGATCCCAGCTGAAAGTGGCAAGGCTACGAGCAGAGGCAGGTTTCCGGATGTCCAGAAACATTCTGTACCCATTGAATCTATATTGGGGTTGTACTGGGATAATGGCAAAGAAAATGGAAACTATTATAATGTATAGGGATTCTACAGGGGTTATTTTGGGTGCAGGGTTTTGGGGTGTATATGTTTGGTGTTTGGGGTTTGGGGGTTCAGGGGTGGGGCGTTTAGGGTTTAGGGATTCAGGGTGTGCAGCAATTGAGGGTTTAGGGTGTAGGGGTTGGGGCGTAGGCGTTTGGGGTTTAGAGATTCAAGGAGTAAGGTTTTAGGTTTCAGGGCGTAGGATTTAGGGGTTTCGAGTGGAGGGTTTAGGGGCGTAGTGGTTAGCTTGGGTTTCGTAGCGTTTCGGCCTTTGCAAAAGAAAGCTACTCGCATATTGGATTTATGGTGGAAGTTTTGTACGAACGTGGCCCTGAAGAAGTTTTGTTTCAAAGCAAGGCAGTGTCAGCATCTCCTGCACTTCTTTAGTAGCTTGCGCCGGAGCAGAGTAAGGGGGTGTGACCTTTGATTCTTTCAAAGTGGCTCGGACAAGTTTTTTTGGCATGCTGGACTCTGCTTGGAGTTGTGGAAAGAACTGCAATGCTAAATGTAACATCAATGTGGCAGAAGGAGCACAGGGGATCTGGCCAAGGCCTTGTCATTTGTTTGTCGATGCCCTGCTTGTCTCCAGTCTTAGGCCTTTGTGTTTTGAGGTTGTAATGGTGCCTTCATCTTGAAGCAGCATACCGAGAAGATCCTTCTTCTCAGGGGCACTAGGCTTTGTGATATGTCGTAAACTGGTCGGCTGTTTTATCAGGACCCCCGGGTCTGGGCATGGGCGGGGAAATCAAAGGAACAGCACGTCTTGCAAGAACAGTTCCTTCTGAGGGGACGCGAGATTTGCGGGAAGAAGTACCCTGATAGGCACAGCTGCTAAAAGCTGTCCTGTGCGACTGGTCTAGTCACTAGTCAAGCCTTGCAGCAGGTTGCAACTGCCGTGGTCGAGTATCTCACCCTGGTGTGCAGCAAGAACCTTACCAAGGCAGGAACATCTGTACACTGAGCATGTAGCAGGATGACACATCTAGGAGGAAGACTCGTGTGGATTCAGGGCACATTGGTTTGAAAACCAGCTTCGGCGCAACTTTCAGAGCTTTGCAACTGCAGTGCTGTTGTTACGTCCTCCCTGTGTCTTTAGCCATGGTTGCAGCAGCTTTCGCAATCACGGTCTTTGTTGTGACAGACTGATTGTCTCTGTAAGAGCATTTTCCAGCGTCACTTCACTTGCACAAGATCCTTGCAAGGGCTTGCGCACAAATTCGTTGTCTAACAGGCCAGCAACATGTGGACGTCCACGACGCTCGTTAGAAATCCTTACTACTTGGAAGGTTCTATGTGAGTGGCTTTCATGTCTTGATCTGATGTATGACAGCATCTGGTATTTTCCCTAAATAAGGGTACCCCAGTATAGACCCCAAAATATTGTAATCCTTATTATAGGGACCCCAAAATGACACCCCTAATTTTGGGAAACCCCCATCTGGAAGGTTGGCTGGGTGTCGAGCCGCTTAGTCAGTGGCGAGCTTTCGCTGGACCGCAGGGCCTCCACTGCCAACTGATCGTGTTGCCGCTTTTTGAAGGGAACTTCAAATGAGCTATAGTCTAAACTCCTTAAAAGGGGGTTATATAGGGGATTATATAGGGGCCTACTATAGGGGATATTAAGGGGGATACTAGGAGTTTAGACTAAAGCTCAAATGAGGTAGCAGTGGTGGACCCAGAAGCTTCAATGGGCTGGCTGGTGTATTTGAGTTCCCGGATGCTATCTGGCATCAGATCAGTGAGGCGGAGTGCTCTGGTGGACTACACCCCAAATCCTAAAGCCAAAGTACTTTATCCCAAACACAGCAAGCTGCTAGCATAACTAGGAATACACACGCACAAAAGGTGTTTGCATGGGGGCTTTGGAGAGCTGAAAGCGCCGACAACATGAGGCAGTCAAGGGGGGCCCAACGGGCTGTAGGACTGCAGAGGGGAAGGTGAGGGACCTGTGCTCCATAGTGCTTGAGGATCTACTTGAACTCGTTTAGTTTTTGTCGCTCCAAGAGATCTTATCGTGGTAGACTGTTGTATTGTTGCCGTTAGGTTTCTCCACGGCTTGTCGTGGCAACAACAGCCCCCTCTATCCCAAAACACTCTGACTGGTCCTCTGCGATGTCACAGAATCAAGCAGTCGGCTTGATGATATTGGGCTGGCTTCACGTTGCTCGTTAGTCGCGGTCAAGGCTTGTCCAGAGGTTGCGTACTTGTTTTCCATTCATAAAGCCCAGCAAGCTACGCAAAGCAATGAGAAGCGTAGGAGTTCACAGCCGACCTCTTCTACGAGTTGTACGTGGCAAGGATGGATCCGAACAACAAATCACCCATCGACGTGGGATCTCTGATTATCAACTACACCATGCACGACAACGCGCAACAGGCCCGGCCTTCAGTCACCCACCGCTGCCCAGTACCACAGCCACATGCATGCTTGCAAAAAATGTTTTCTTGCAGACCTCACAGAAATCCGGTATGCTTTTTCTGCGAGCATACCTGGAATCCCTCCTCAAACTGCTCAAGCCTGCCGATGCCCGGGGCCACGCATTTTCTGAGATTTGACGACGTTGAGCACATACTGCAACCCAGCTACTTCACCATAATAGTCGTTTGGCTATGCGGGGTTGTCAACATGATAGTCTGCTTTTGGACCGTCTTTGCCGCAACATGTCTCAACCCACAAGGGAACCATCCTTCTGATAACATATCCACGTGACTTTAATCCCAGGTTTAGCATGCAGCAGGAATTTGGCCAAACGGGTTCAGAGCCCTTGCAGCCCTTTGCTGCAGTTGTAGCATGTAACTTGCCCTGCACGGCGCATGCATTACATACAAATCCCTGTGAAGTCGGCTACATTTCATGTCTGCCCCTTCTGCTGGCATTCTCTGCCCGCAAGCCACATAGAGGGCCAAGCTGGCACGGGGTCTTTCCTTGAGGAGCTCCTAGCAGGTCCCAGCATGTATCGGGCCCTGACCCTGTTGACTTTGCACCTTCTCAGATTGCACACTTCTAGTGTTCTGATACCAAAAATGCAGGGTCCTTTGATGAAGGAATCCCATGGACAGAGGGCCGTGGGCTGGAGACATTCAAGTGTTCAAGACGGGCTGCATCTGAGTTCTGCCCATTGACAGTTCCAAGAGTAGCATGAGCATGGTGCAAGGGGATTCCAGGGGCTAAAGGGCTGCGCTGGCGCGGAGTCCTGTTTGTCTGGAGGTTCCGCCGAGGCAGGGATCTCATCCCTTGTAAACTTAGAAGAAATTCGGTTTTTCCCCGTCCTTTGCCCCATAGTCCCTGTCCAAGTATCGCCGCAGTTCAGAAAGCTTGTTTCCCAATTCTCAGTGCCACTGGATCCTACACAGGTTAATCAGGCCCGTAGCAGCAAGTACAGGAACCGCCAGACAGACCATCTGCCAAACACTCGACAAGGTTGTGATCAACCGCCCCTCTCAAAACAGTAAGGGATCCCGATACAAGGTGGGACCAGCAGTCTTGGAAATCCCTGCATCTGTTGCGCATTCAAGAGACTGACAGGTGATTGCGGCAGCAGCGTGGAAGCAAGAAGTGTTTGAGACTTTTACGCTTTTCAGCTTTCAGCATTGCGCAGTTTGGCATCAAACACACAGTCAGACAGTGCTAAGACTGGCACGCAATGGGGGAGATTGTTTACAGAGCTTAGCCCCGCTTGTTCCTGTTTTTTTGATGGAGCTGCCACCAGCGCCGCCGCAGCCACCGCCATTACGCTCCCGAAGCTGCGAATGCTGTTGCTGCGCATGAAGCCACTGAGGTGGACCTGCTTGCCACTCCAGCCTTCTTCGCTGTGGAGGGCTATGACATCACGCAGGAGGACGAAGCTACGCAACAGGCAAGGATTTGTGTCTGATAGAGCGACTGTTTGAATTTCTTCAGATGGAGATGCCTCCAGGCATCCTTGGTGCGTTTGTCTTTTAGCGAATGAGGACATTTGGAGAGATTCCCAGAAATGGCATGCATACCTGTGGAATTTTCTTGGTGTTGTGTACTTATGATCATCATGTGCCATTTGAACCTTCATTTGTTTGAGTAGTGCTCAAGACGTTGAAAGTGGTGAAGCCTGCCCGCAGCCTGGTGGCAGCAAATGCGCTGCGGGTAGTCGCTGCAGCCAGTGATGTGTCACAGCCTGTCGCACGTAGTGATTTCAGCAAGTTTAGCCTGCCTTCCAACAACCCCGATATGACAGCCTCAAACAGAGACTTCCTTCTCGTGGAAAATGTGCCACATCAGGTGGTGAGCTGGATCGAGCTGTCCGACGTTGGCAAGGCGCTTGAAACTCCTTGCTGTTGGCGGGAATGCTGTTTTTCTATGTCTGCAGTGCAGATCCTGCAGTAACAAGGCACACCCCCCACTCAGTAGAATCGGATTCGCGAAGTCCGCAATCAGTCGAAGCACTTCCCAAGCCCAAAACATTGAAGACCACAGCCCCAGAACCTTCAGGCCTGGTGTGACAATGATGTCAGTGTCAGTTGTCCAACAATGCCAATCCCTTGATGAGCCCCGGGTGGTGCCTCAATCTTCTGGTTTGTTTTGCTGGATTCTGGGCTTCAGAGATCAGGTTTTGGGGCATTGTTCTGGCAACTTGGATGGCTGGTGACCACCTCCCGTCCTCGGATCAAGATCTGTATGCTCTCCACATTTGACATGACTTGAGATCATTTCTTGAAGATGCTGATCGATAACAACCAGCATGAGATGAATGTGGGACGTCCCCGGTTGGAGAGAGGTGTTCACTATCATGGAGTCGTAGCGCATTCTTGCTGATCCCCAGTATCTCTGCACATTCCAGGGCCGTTTAGGGGACGGGGATGATGCATCCAGAAATCATGCGCATGCCTGTGCGCAGTGTGTTTTCTGGATTCTGTCAGAGACTTGATCGTACCTGGCTTCAAACCAAGAAACCAATAGTCAACAAAGTTGGCTGCCATGTTGCACTTTCGGAGCGGATTCCGTACGATCTGAGTACAGAGTAGTGTGTATTGAATGTGGGCCCGGCATTCTGAAATCATCCAGGCCTAGTCTCAAAAAATCCACTGCCCAAACCCCAAGACCTAAACCGTGGAGTCCTAAAGGACGTCACTGCAATTCGCAAGAATTCACAAGAAGTCCTGGGGCCTAAGCCACGGGCCACGCCGCTGGTGCAGGCCGCCCTATTAAAGTACGCGAAAGTGAAGCCCAGTGCTGCCGGTGAGAGCTTCGCAGATGCTTACGATCAGACGGTATCTTGGCCTGCACAGGAATTCTGCTCACCTCAATATCAAACTTGGTTCTGACAATCTGAGCCCATTTCTTGCGACCTCCTGCAAAAGCGCTTCCAAGCTCCACATGTTGATCATTTCTTAACGTTTTAGGCATATTCACAGATCTGATTGTTGACCAGAAATCCTTCTTCATGTGATGTAACTTCGTTGATCAAGCTTAGATGCTACATTATTATGAACGTTTGGGCCAGACAACGCAGGAAGGGCAGCAATTGAAATTGACTTATTTAGAGCCATTGCTTGGAGTATCATTGCAGGTGAAGGCACGGGAAGCCCAGTATTCAGCTGCCAATGGCTCCTTGGCATATCTTTAGAAGTCAGTTTAGGCGATGGTCTGGTCATTTTACTGCGAGAAATGGTACCATGCTGACATCCACTGGTTTCATTCGTTGAACTTGACGTATTGGAGCCTTAACGGATGACTTCCATGTATGACTGGAGGGTTGTGTATATAATATAAATCTGTATATATATATATGCTCACCCCCACCCCCCAAGAACTACTTTTTGGGCTAATTAAAGACTGAACATTGGTAAAAGCATTTTTTTTAAGACTAGTGTTCGTACCAATATGATCATGAGTGATAGTATTAGTACCCAAATCGATATGAATAAGAGAATTAGTATTAGTATGAATACTAGTTCCACTATTAGACTATGCATACTGATATTCATACTGATATTCATATTGGTATCATTATTATGAACATTACCATTCGTGTTAATATTCATGCCAAGTACGAATGGTACTAGTCATTTCTGTAGTGTTGTTTTGCATGGTTATTATGATTTGTAGCAGTCCTATGACTAACAGTATTGGTGGCTTTAATACATTCATTCTACATAATGTCGGCAGTGTTATTTACTCAGTGAGTGTCTGTATTAGTATTTCTGTTCGTGGTAATGTCAAGAGCTAATACATGATTATACAAATGTGGATCCTGTATTTATATCAGTATTTGTAACAAGTATCATGAAGTTCAGCAATACAATCAGTCCTACCAGAAATCATGTGAGTACTTACTAAGATCAATATGAATGACGATACTAGAGTGGGTGATAATATTCATATTGATAGGAGTGTTACTCATCGTATTTATTCATACCATTGGTATCCGCGTTAGTTTTAAGATAGATTCTGTTATCCATAGTAAAAACAATATTAGTATGAACAGTAGTATTCGTATGAAATTTAGTATGAATATTGATAATATTATCCGTCTTAGTACCAGATGTTCATAATAATACGAAATTTTTTGTCACCACCACATATGGTAGCAAATATATGTATTGTAGCT